TCCTAGAAGCTTGGGGGGGGGGAAGGGAGGCCCCCCTCCATGGAGCCCTAACCCTGTTTTTCTTTTTCTTTTCTTTTCTTTTTTTTTTTTTTTGTGACTTCCCAGGGTGTATTGTAGCCAAGCCCCAAATGGCACTTTAGCCCTGTTTAAGGGATTTCATTTTGTTTGTAGTGTTGGGATTTTTCGTCCTCCTTCAGTGGTGTAACAAGTGTCCTGACTCCACCCCACCCCCCAGCTGTCCCTAATCCCTGCCTGAAAATGTGCTCCCGGGTCATTAAATTCATGCTGAGACATGAAACCACACAAAGGCACAAGACACACACACAGCCAGGCTCAGGGGTCCACCCTGCAGGGGACATTGGCCCCCACATGGGGCCACGACCACACACCCACAACACAGAGCATCCCCAAACAGCACAGGGACCCGTAGCCTTGCCTCTCCATGGGTGGGCATGGTTAGCTGGTCAGCACACAAAGACCCAGCCAGGAAAGACCCCCGTTCAGCAGCCTCGCCACGCAGCTGGAGACATATACTCTAGTGACAGGAAGACAGCTAAGGCTGCATGCCCTGGCAGCCGAGCCATTAGCCCTGTAACCTGCAGCCCACCAGCCCACGGGCTCATGCTAGGAGACACAGGAGCACACACGTAAGGGCGAGCACGTGTGCACTCAGAGAGACAGCAAAATGGAGTAAGTTCTGTTTTCTCTAACTGGATGATTTGGCCTCTGGTCAACCTAAACTCCCCACAGAAACCTGGGGTGAGGGAGGGACAGGGGACATGACCAGAGGTCTGAGCACTGTACAGGGTCTCGCCAATGTTCAAAATCCCGTTCCCCAGATTTTCTGGCTCTTTCTCAGCAGCCCCTCCCCACCCCACCCTGGAGCTGGGGTTTGAGAGTGAAATTCAACCCCCTGTTTGCTTCTTCACTCTGAACTCCGTGCAGGGGCATTTGGAAAGTGCCTTTGGGTGGCGGCAAGGCTCCCAGAGCCTGTCTAACAGCCCTCTCTAAGCCCCTTTTCTACAAAGCAGGAAATCGGGTTGGGCCAAAGGTAAACACATTCCAACCTGGCGGGTCTCAGATGGAGGGGCTTTGTTGGGGCGGGGGCTGGGCTGCGCCTGTTTTCCCAGCCCACACCCCTGGGTGAGGCTCACACTCAGAATCCACTGAGCACCTGTTTGCAGAGGATGCTGCCCAGGGATTCTGTCCCCATTGCTTCCTCCCCACTTGCAGGCTGCAGGGTCCTTCCAGCTCCTGCCTTAGGAACATCCGTCCTGGCCATACCACCCAGGACCACCCTTAAAAGACCATTTCACTGGAGAAAGCAGAGACATTGTGGGTAGGCCCAGGTGTGGACCTACCCCCATGCACACCCTCCTGCATTCCCCAGGGCAGCAGGTGTAGACACACCCATGGGTAGAGCTGGGGAGAGAGTGGGGCCACCAAGGGGCCTCAGGTGGATACAGAAAGGAGCAACCCTACCCTCACCACGTTTCAGGCCAGATGAACTCACTTTTCTGAGTTTGTCTCTGGGCTCCCAAAGCTAAAGTGTGGGATTCACAACCCCCAGGGGCTCAGAGTGTGACAGAGACGTGAGTCCCAGCATGCTGGGTGGCTTAGGTGACTAGGAGAAGGACACACACTGAGCAGATGACCCAGACCCATCGGAGACAGCTGAGCCCCAGTGATTGCCTGCTGGCTCCCAGGGCCCCATTCCCAGGCCTCCTTCCCAGCTCTGGGATTTGACATGGGCAAAACCTTCTGAGGGCTCCAGAGGAGGTTTCCCAGGCGGGCGTCAGCCTCCCCTCTCCCCACCCCAGCTCGCTTTCATCTTCTGAGCTCTGGCTTTGTAAACCTGCAGCAGAGTCGGATGTTTATAATAAAGGCCTTTATAGACCCAGCTCTTGAACATAACGGATGGGTTGCTTCATCCCACCGGCAAAGCCCACTTGGGTAAGTCAAACGGCCAGTGGGGTCAGGAAGATGGATGTGGCCTTTGAAATCCTCTCCGGAGAAGCCTGGAGGCGCCTGGGAGACCTCGGGGGCACCTTCCCTGCAGGCTTCGAGAAACGCCTCCACCCAACTGTGCCTCCTGTGGGGTCACTGGCCTTCCTGGTGTTAGCCCTGAAGTCCATGTCTCTGTAAAGCCCTCAGTCCAGGGAGACCCTAGAGCCCACCATCAGGTGGAGATGGTGGGGAGAAGAAGGTCCAGGAGAGCCCAGACACAGAGCAGTGAGGAATTCATCATGTAGGCCCAGGACGCAGAGGGCGCCGCTGGGCAGGCGGGGCCTGGGGGAGAGAAGGATCTGGCCTGCTGCCACAGGGAGGGTGGGCTTCCCCCACAGTCTTTCCTATCTGGTCTTTGTCAGTGGATCGAGGCATTTTCCTGACTGCTCTGAGCACGGAGGATGGGGGAAGGGTGGGAAGGGGAACGGAAGGGGACTCAGGGGATGCCGAGGACCCTAGCCTTACTCTCGAAAGCGGCTCCCTTATCCTTCCCAGTATCTACCTCGCCGCCGAGGGCCTGGGAGCTAGGAGGCCTGCATGGGGCTCAGAGGCAGGGCGTCCCACAGAGTCCTGGGGTTCCCAGCCCACCACCCTCTCCTATGGGATGTTGGCTGACCACAGACCCATGGGAGGGTGGCACTGCACCCCGGCAGTGAACTGCACTTGTGGTCCTTGGGCTTGGATCCCCCTGGGCTGCTTCACCTCTCACCTGTGCCATCCTCAGCTCTTGATTACCTTGGCCTCCCCCAGGGTCTCTGCTCTGCTGTCACCACCCGCCCCTGCCTGCCCTGTGACAGGCTCCCTGTACTATCCCTGTACCCTTTGTGTCCCGTTCCCCCCTCCCCCACAGCAGAGAGCAAGAGGGGGAGGGACACTGAGGAGGTCTGTTCAGGCTCCTGCCTCTGGTCCAAGCAGGGGCCAGCAGGGCCTGGGAGGTGCCCTCACGGTCCTTGGGGTCTGCCTCAAATCCACCCCACACTGGGACTATTCTGCAGACCAGCCACCTAGAGCAGGCCAGGGCCTCGACGAGGCTGGGTGTCCTTCAGATTCGGACAGGACTTGGGGCAGCAGAGTGCAACTCAGAGGCTCTTCTGTGTGGCTGAGGCCACCATAGCCACCTGGGCCACCACCTCTCCCTGCAGGGCCTACTGGCCCTCCAGCCCTTCATTGCCACGTGGCACCTGCCCGCACTCCGCTGTGACGTCGAGTCCCCCTCTGCCCACCCTATCCCCAGGGCCCGCCCCATATCCACAAGCCCCACCCTACCCTGTGATCCCTCTGCAGCCCCTTCGGATCCCCTGTGTACTCCCCCGCCCCACCCGTGGGCCCCTCCCCTTCTGTATGCCCCATCTCATCCCACAACCCCCCCTCT